GGCCCTAAACGGCCCTAGGATCACGGCGTTGACCAGGATGCTGCCTCTCCGAAGGGGCTTCGTGGCAGCGATTCTGGCAATGTGTTTGAACGTGGCTGTGGCGCAACCGCAGGAAAAAGAAGCCAGCTTCGATGCTGCAGGCTTCTGGGTGGACATGCTCATTGTGCACCTCTTGGCCCTGATTGGGCTGGTTCAGGTGGCAACAAAGGTTGCCGGGCTCTGCGGTCCAAGCAGAGCGGCGAGGAGAAGGAACTTGTCAACACAGACGGGTGTTGCAGGGCAGGTTGCGGCTAGCCCCGCACCTGTGTCACCGTGTGGCCGTGAAGGCCCTACACGAAGGAGGCCGGCGGTTGAAACTGCGGCCGCCAGCAGTAGCACTGGTAGAGCTGAACTGGAAACCACACCTGCGGCTCCCAGTACTGCAGTCCCGCACCCTAAAGGGCGCCGGGAAGAACTGAACAACAGAAGACTTGAAGACAGACGTCAGGCGGAAGAGCTGGCCATGAGTCAGCGTGAGGTTGTCTTTGTGACAAGTAAAGGTGGAAGGTACCACAAGGAAACCTGTGGTGATCTTCGGTATGCCAGGAGGAACAATCCCCGTGGCATTGTACAGTACAGCAGGCAGGAAGCCCAGAACAGGAGCTATACAGCCTGCGGCAACTGCGGTGATTGATTTTTGATCCCACCAGGGATATCCTACGTGTGTCCAACTCCAAATGGGGTGGGCCATGGAGGGGTGTTAGGATGCAAAGCCTATTCTTGCCCCAGGTGAGACGCGGATGCTGCAGCCCCTTCGGTTGCTCAAGCGAGGCATAAAAGTTAGCTTGGGTAGTATTCTGTGACGAAACCCTTGCACTATAAGATTCTTAAAGATATTTTGATTTCAATATTTGGATTTGGAGAGATATTTTTATTTCGAAAAATGAAATAGAAATTATAATTTAAATAAAATAAAGAGTCCGTCTATAATTAAGGTCGAAAAAGATTTTTGAAATTTAATCTTCGAGGCTTCGTACTAGTCTAGGATGAAAGGATAGAGGTTAATAATTTAGAATTTTAATTGCCGCATTTTGATTAGTCTCTTCAAGCTTTTACTAATTTTGAAAGATCTCATTAATTTCAAAAGGTGTAGCTGCCGCTGCCCGCTTGGCGGGATTATGCATAATAAGGAGCTATGGAGGCTCCGCATTCCGGATCGTCTCCAAATGGTTCTGATTTAGATTTTGAGAGTTCATACTATTAAAATAATAGAAAGAAATAATGCGATATCTATATCAGAATAATTTTAATGATTTTTGCTCGGGCAATAATTCGGAATTCTTATTGCCGTATCCTGATTAACTTCTTCAAGCCTTTACTAATTTTGAAAGAGTCCATCAATTTCAAAAGTTGCAGCTGCTGCTGCCCGCTTGGCGCGGATAGATATATATAATGAGGAGCTATCGAGGTTCCGCGTCCCGGGTCGTCATCTGCTGATAGTTCTGATTTAGATTTTGAGATTTCCGATTTCCAGCGCGGAATCTCAGGCCAGGATTTTTAGATGCTATTAGGATATTAGAAAAAGATAAATAGTTTTATAAGATATATCGATTTCATCTGACGATCGAGTTATGAATTAAAAGGAATCTGATCAGGCCTCCCAAAAATTGATATCTGGTTGCTATCTTGCGTGCTCCTATGTCCGCATCATTTCTGCCGTCGAGAATTGCAGCCTATGGAGAAATCTGCAAAATAAAGCAACCAATAAAATCTTCGAAGATCTCCAAAAATATGGATATAAAGCGGTCATCCAACTTGGTCTGCTTCTGACTGAGCTGAATTAATTGATGAGAATTGCGGTCTCCGGAGAATTTTTATTTTATTGCAAGGCAAACAGCAAATCTTTCGAATATTTTCAAAAATTCCAGAGGCATGGATATAGAGTCGATCAGATTTGTAAATATTAATTTTACATCTTATATGCTCCGATTTCTGTAGATTTTATATAATCGAGAATTACGATCTGCAGAGAAATCTTTAAAATAAAGAAATCAAATAAAAATCATTTCAAAATTTTTTTTTTCTAATTCAAAATCCTTCCCCACCTCCTTCCGACCTCTCCTTTAATTATGAGGTCCCCTGCCCGCCCTCGTGCGGTCCGCCTCGTAATAGGCGGAAAAGAATTCATCAGAACGACCTATTTTTGCCCTCCCCTATCGATCCCATTCTATTCCCCTCTCAAACTACTAGTCTTTGCCGGCCTAAAAAAATCTTCAATAAATAAATTCAAGACCGGTTCTAGCTCAAAGAATCCAGATTGCAGCTCCAGAGCCACAAGACCATATGCGCCCCGACAACGATTATATCTTACCTTTCCTCTATCCCGCCAAGAGCTTTTTATATACCTATCTAAATCCTTATTTTTCCTATAAATCCGAAAAAATATTTTCCATATATTTCTATTTATTCATAATATTTCTTATTATTTGAAATATACCTTAATTTTTTTATAATTATAAATATGTCGAAGAATTCGAAAACATTCAATTTTTCGATTTTATTCTATAAAATAAATTTTCTTATATATTAATTTCAAATAATTTATATTCTGCCAAAGAATATATTTATATATTTGTATCATTACTTTAAAATATTCTATAAATATTATAGAAATATAAAAATATTTTATAATATTATATGAATATAAAAAAGAATAATCAAATTAAAAAATAATCTA